CTGGGTCTGGGGAGGCACCCAGGGTCCACCCCCCCAAGCCGATCGCCAAGCTGGGGAAGCATGGGGGGGGGTCCAGCACGCTCCCCAGAGGCCCCAAAAGTGGACCAGAAGTACTTCCAGTCCACTTCCAGGTTCGCTGCCAAGCACGTGGGGGGGGGCCACGCTCCTGTGGGATGCTCCATCTGCCCCAGCATTGCAGTGTTCATAAGCCACACCTGGTACCTCTAGGTATGTAGAAAAGCATTTAAAGCTGTGTCTATGGCCAAATCACTGATTCTCTAAATCAGCATAGACTCTTCAAATTCAGATTAGGCTGAATCGAATCAAGGACAGTGATCCCTGAATCAATGAATCGAATCACTGTCCCCAATTCAGGCTGCATCTCAGTTGAATAGGGCCCATTTCGCACACCCCTACCAGGCAGGTAAGGTGTTTTTTGTTTTTTTTTTAAACGTAGTCATAACTTGTTATGGTCAGTTTTTTTCCCTCATCTGATTTATCCATTTTATTTTGCTGCATAAACCTAAAATATTCTGTCCAGCAGTGACTAGTGGAATTTTCCTTCTGCACAAAGGTTCTGGAATAAAGCTGGTGGGGATAGCTTCGCTGCTTTCTCGTTCTAGCTGCCTTTCGCCCTCTGGTAGAGGAAGATGAAGCAGCATCAAACCCTAAATCTCTGGCATGGGTAATAGTAACTTTTGGCTGCTTTACTTTACCCTTTTTTAATCAGGTATGTCAAATGCAGTTTTTAAAGCCCTGTCACCATATAAATGAGACTTGTATTATATCTACATGTGTATATTTGTTCGCACATGCACATATGCATGTACACACAGACACGTGATAAACAAATGAGCTTTGTGATAAAATGTATTTATCACAACTGTTACTAATACATCTGGTTGGTGTGGAATGTGGCCAATGAAGAAATTCCATGAGGCATCTCAAGCCACCCGAACACAGTGGAATCAAGCTTCAAGACACAAAGGGGCCATGACTAGCAAATTAATTGCCCTTTCCTTCTTCTCTATTTACAATGATCAAATTGCAAAGGCCTGAGAAAGTTGATACAATGCTCCCTTGTTATCCATTTTTGTTTTCTGCAGCTACCCATAGAAGTGTGGACCAAAATCTCTATTGCTCTCCTTTGTTATTTGAAGGAGGAAATCTTTTACAAAGCAAATGTGGACATTGAATATGGCCATATTCATGATTAGAAACAGGTGTTTCCAGATGTTGTAATTACACCATCTCTGTAATACCAGTCTCTGCAGTGTCTTAACTTGCAACTTGCACATATCATTTTTTTACTGTGAATGCTCAGTAATTTGAATTATGCCAGTTTATTTTACACTGGATTAAGCACCTGACAATTTCCATCTGTCCATGCACCTGCAATGTTTATTCACCCTACTAGCCAAACGTTTTTTTTCTTAAGTAGTTTCTCTTTGTATTAAAAAAATTATCCTAAATCATGCTGTCTCTATTCTTTTTGCTCTGGTCTTCTACTTCCAAGCTAATTAGGCTTTAGCAGTTCAGGGTAGCTCGTGTTTAAAAAAGAGAAAGTTGTCACTTGATTAGATAAGGATACAGAAAGGGGAGCGGGGGAGGATCTGTCAAATAGTAACCAAGAACAACTTCTGGAGTGACCATTAATCACATTGAAAAGCATTTTGTGGCAGAAGCAATAATGTGATTTATTGAGATGTTTCTGAGGATACACAAAGCCACCAAGAAGCACATCTGGATTGTTTTTAGAGATAATTTTTCAGACCAGACATTATGATGCTGTGTCAGCCAGAGCAGTAACTAAACAGCCATTCAAAAAGACTCCAGTTTGCTAATGCCATTAGACTGTAGCTAATAATAAAGGTTATCTGCAAAAATTCTTCATTGATGAATGCTGTTTCTAAGGTGCCATAAAAATGTTGGTCAGGCTTTTTTGCTTAACAGTGTAATTGACTACAAGGTGGAAATGTCAAACAAAGTCAGATGACGAAATAATTTTTTCTATATAAAACATGCTTGCTTCGGTTTTAAACTGCTACAGAATCTTTACTTTTTAATCTTCTTTAAATTAGAGTTGCTCCTGATTTACAGCCCAGTCTAATTCACACTCTGGTCAGCAGGAGTCCTTCACGTGATTTTTGTCAGGTACCCCTTGTGTGTGCCATGGAGTTTGAATTGATCCTTTGGTGTTGGTGTAAGGACTTGATCTTGCATCACTGAAGTCAGCGGGGTAATTTTATTTCATTGCAATGGTTTGGCCATTAAATGAAATCAGAATCGGGGCTTTCGATTTTAATGCAAAAATTCCTGTATTCATTCTAGCCCCAACCTGGATGAGTTTCATTTATTCATCAGTTACAGCAAAAAAACCCTCTTGAATTTGAATGAGAAAAGCATGGCTATTTTGCAATATCAGTGTGCATCATTTTTAAAATTACGAAGATGTTGAACATTTAATTGTATATGTAGCGCTGATACAAGTAGAGAATGTTCATATGTTCTTAGCATATGAGTTTTTATTTTGACTTGTGGAACACATGCACTGTAGAAGCAAATCACAAATTGCCATTGATTCTTGACAGTATAATTGTTCTTGGCCTCTCAGTGGTCATCATACTGTCCATGTTCTGTCCTGTCAGCATAATCCTTTGTTTCACAAACCCTTTGTTTCATACACACATCCTAATTTGGTCTGTTACCCCAAAACCAGAAAGCCTAAGGGCTCTGCAGTTGGGTACTGTGACCTGGCACCACCTTGTTATGGAACCATGTAGTAAATGGCTTCAATTCCCAGCCTATGCATCTGCTTGCTGCTTGCCTGTATCAGATGTAGCAGGCTTTGAAGAAACTTTTGTCACAGACAGGCATTTAGAAATCAATTAACTCTTGATGTTGCTGTTGGACCATTATTCTAATACATATCTACTTTACCTATAAGCCAATTACCAAAAGCAAACTTCTAAATACCATTTCCTAGCCATCATCAGACTGGGCCCTTCTCATCTGATCCACAGGGCAAAAAGGTTGAGCACCACTAATACAGATAATTGCTGAAACTGGCCCTTTTTAACAAGGATGTTAGAAAATTGGAGAGAGCAAAGAAATTAGTCACAAAAATGGTTTAAGGGCTTGAGAATGTATAATAATGCTAGTTGTTGGCGGTTTGAATTGCTCAGCTAAAAAAAATGAAGATGATTCTTTGTGGGTGATTTGTTTAACTTTTTCTTTTCCTTTTTCCTCTCCCCCCTCCAGCTCCCCCACAATTTTTTTTCTTTTATGTGGGCAGGACTATCTGACATGTTAACTAACATATATTTTCCTAGTAGTAAAAAGGGACACTTAATCACAACTTCAGTGCATTTTGCACATCTAGATTATTGAACAGATAATTCCGTATGTGATAACTTTACCATGCAATACTAAGAGTACTGCAAACATTTTTAAAAGAGCAGGCTAAATTCCAATCATGTCTAGTTTTTTGGTGCTGTTAGAACAGCAAAAGCACCTATGAAGGATGAACTTAGCACCTTTGAGGTAAGCTTACAATGGAGCATTCAGTATTTCACATTTGGGTGCCTCTTTTCCCAGGTGTACATAGACGAGGGGGGGAAAGTCTGGATGTCATTGGAAATGCATGTAAAAGACACTCAGAGAGAATTGTAGCCTTCATTTGACATTCAAGTGCTTTATCCTGATATTTCTGTTATTCCCATGAATTACAGCAGGGAACAAGCTAAAGAGGCAACCCTTTCGTCTGAACTGGGCTTGGATTTCACTAGAGAAAGAATACTATGTTGTAGATGAGGACTCCAAGTTCCTGGAGGTGACTCTTAAGCGCAGGGGATACCTGGGAGAGACATCTTTCATCGGTGAGTTGTTGTTTTTTTCAGTTGTCCTCTCCTTCAATAGGGAGAGGCTGATTTTATTAAGAAGGATCAGTAACTACATCATAGTTGCTCTTCTTTACCTATATAACACCAATGAAGTGCAATGGTAGTCATTTATTCCTTAAACGTGGCTCTGTTGTAGACAGGTAAGTCAGTGCTCCACCTCTGAGACACCTAAGTGAACACATGATATGACAACAAATGGTAACAAACATTGTAGGGGTTAGGACAGGTTACAGTAAAGAGATCACCCTACCTCATTTGCATGTTCAATATGAGCTTCCAGTTGCAATGAACAGCCTTATTCACAGGCCATAAGGGCAGCCATCCTCCTGTTCTCTGCTGTATATATTACTCTTCACAAATGTTCTGCAGACACTACCATTCTCCTTTGGCAGTGAGACCCACAGTGCATCTCATATATTGTGGTAACCTCCCCAATCCTCAAGCTACATGCAGCTGGTGCTTTCTGCCTGTCTTCCCATTGCCTCCTTCTCAGGTCAGTCACTTAAGGCAGAATATTCTGTCACCTAGTTCATAACCAAAGTACAGCTTGTGACCAACTCTGAGTTACCTAAATAAAGTGTAGGAATTATTCTGTTACCTCCTCTGGGTGTATAAGTGTCCCCCAGTGTAAGACTAGGATCACCCTCCAGGGTTATGCAAACATCTCCCTTTTGCTATAATTGGGGTACTTACTTTCCAAAAAAGTATAATAGGGTTGGTTCTACACACTATTTAGGTAACTGAAAGCTGGGATCAAACTGCACTTTGGTTATGCACTAGGGTGCATAAGGGTTGAAAAGGAACAGGATTGAAATGATGTAAGTGTATCTCCTATTTCTGTACTCGGTCCTGGCCAAGCAAATCATCCAAATGACGTAGCATTCTGAAATACTAAGGGGGCTGGAACTCCACCAGCAGCAGGCAGCTGTTATGAGCAGCCACCTGAACACTGCTTCCATCTCAATATGCCGGGTCCCTTTTCCAACTCTTTCTAAATCACAGAGATGTTAGCTCATCCTACTGCACTCCTAAGACATCTCCAGTCTGTGGATGGAGGATGAGTAGAATTATGGGAGCAGGACTGACTTTATAAAAAAAATAATGCTGCAGACAGGGATCTATAACCTTTAGATACTACATAAAATCTTACCTTTTTTCTTCTTTGTCTTCCCTTATTTGCCTTAACCACCAACCTCAAAACTCCAATCTAATGTAGACTTGAGTTATTTCAACTAATGAACCATATATGGTATATGAACTTGACATCTGACTCACATGGTCTGATCCTGTGAGTCAGACCCTGTGACTCACCTATAGACATCATAATATTTGGATGGCAATTGTGTATCATATCATATACATTGTATAAACTCCACCATGTGGGAGCACAGTCCAAATCCACACAAAGCTTGTTTCATTGTGTGTGTGGTTTTTTTTTTAACCAAGTCCTTTTATTAGCCTGCAGACACTATAGGATGATTAATTGAGAGTAGAGTAGTTGACTTAATATTGCACTTATAACATCAAAGAAATTTTTGGCATGCTCTGATGCTAGCCCTCTTTTTTTACCAAAGAGGGTAAGCAATAAGTTCATAGAAACAATCTGGTAATATAAGAACAATATCTATATGTTGTATAGTAACCTCTCACTGATGATGACTGATCAGGACAGCCACAGGGCTTGAACCCAGAAGCTGTCCCAATCAGCTAGTTGTCAGCTGGCAGGGACCACCTGGCACTCAAACCCTTGTGTAGTCCCTGCCAGCTAATGAGGACCCTGTCTGGAGCTTGGGTCTCTGGGCCATTCAATCAGCTGTCAGGGACCACCTTGGAAATCCAGTCCCAGGGCAGTCCCTGCCAGCTGACAGGAGATTGGGAAGGCCTTGGGTTTCTTGCCCTGGGACTGTCCCAATCTCTTGTTAGCTGCCAGGGACTGGTAGATCAGGTTCAAACTGTGGGGCTGTCCTGATCAGCTGATTATCAGCCAGCTAATTCCAGTCCTGGGGCAGTTCCTGCCAACTAATGGGAGATTTGGAACAGCCCTGGGGCTCAGCTAAAGGGGCCGTGATGATCTGCTAGGGGTTTTCAATCTTTTTTAACAAGTGTACCCCTTTTGTCTCAAATTTTCAGCTCATGTACCCCTTTATATTTATTGAGACCCCTGCAGAGGGGGAGGGAGGGAGTGGGGCTGGGGCTGGGGCTGGGGCTGGGGCTGGGGCTGGGGCTGGGA